ATTTCTACTGGTGTAGGACCGTTGGTATGGCACTACAATTGAAGATTCCGTGTGACCGGTCTCTGTAAAGGCGGAGAGGGTAACCTTGCGGAAAGTTTTATCCTTGAGAGGATCCTGTGTTATCTGCAGAATGTTACTAATTTCCCATCTGTCCATGTTTTTACATGCTTACCCAGTCTGATCTATAGTGAGCGAGATGTACATAATGCCACCACCATTCCCCCTCATCCTTTATGAGTCTTTCTGAACGTAGCATTGTAGCGGAACGAGGAACCGAAATAACAATACAACAACAGGTATTATTGCGTGTCCTCCAGGAATTCTGCGTGGTGTAGAAGTTACGCTGGGTTTGTACCCAGAGATTGCAGTACTTTGCCCTCGTGGTAGGAAGCAAACAAAGTAGACGCTGGACCGGGCCGGTGCCATCGAAGTATATCATTAAGTCTTCGGCAGGCGCCTAAGATTTTCCTTCCTCACCTCGACAGAGTTTTGAGAATGATGTGAAGCTAATCATATTTTACAGCGTGCAGAAATAAGGCCTGAAGGTAGAAGTATAGACATTTATCAACGAATGGATATGTGAGCCACTAAGGATGCGACCAAGGGATACATGATCCTTGTACTGATACCTCGCTGTGTTTTTCCAGAAGAAATTGTCGAATAATTTGAGAACGACGAACTTGAATAAAAAAAGCCCGATACAAGTGCTGCTATAATATCGATGAATTTCGTAGTCATTTGATGACCCAGTCCTTGGACCGATCAATCATGGTATGGCGGCAAAATGTAGGCTCGCAAAGCGAAGCGTCCTTAGTGGTCTCTTAAGAAGGTATAATTGCGATGTGGGAAGGTCATGTCGCCCGGGTGTCGAGCTTTGGAAATAGCCTACGAAAAGAAGCAATAAGCGATCGAGCAGTAGGAAGGGCGGAGATGACGCTGTCACACTGAAATTCCTACGCGGCCTTTGGAGTGAAAGCACATTAATTTGCTAGCGTACCCTTCCATCCACTTGCCTCGCAGTGTACTAAAGCTTGGCATCAGCCAGAACTAGGATCGAGGTAGCAAACGATCGTACCGACTTTTACTTGATATCATTAACGATAAAACAATTGAGCTGATCTTGTTCAGCTCAAACATTAGTTAATATTAACCCGGGCTGTTCCTCGTCCTTGTGTCTTGAAAAGTAAAGACTTCACATTATCGGCGTAGGTTTGAAAAAATGGACAGACATGCGTTCCTCAAGAACATGGCCTGACCTTGCGCTATTAGTTGTGATTAGGCAATAGTGAACAATAATTGTAATACCATCGAGATGAATCATTAATATAACTGTCAGTCCACTCCCGGGTTTGCTTCCCTAGGACTGAGTTGCGCTTCAGCTCGATGTTCGTACGGTTTTCCACTTCAGATATCTGATGAACAAATCAATGACAGAATCATGTCACGACGACGACTCACCTGCGAATAAAAAGCACCTCGTTCCCGACTCTAGTCACCAACCATAGCACGGCTAGCGCAAAATGCATTATATGGGGTATATCCTCGGAATCACGGCAGGCGGCCACATTGTTACCAATGCTCCTGTACGATTTAATCGTATACATCGACCACGTCCATAGCACGTTCTACGAAATTCACAGAACTTGAACCTGAGGAGAGCTGGATTGGTCTGTCAAATTAGTTTTGGAGGATCTCCAACCGTAGTTGTGGGAGATGGTAGAGGGCCGAGCTACAGAGCGGCTGCCGAGCATGTATTTTCTTGTGTACACTGAAGGACTTGTCGGCTACGGTTGATAAACCTTTCTCCACAAGATCGTAACGCACTATTATCATACATCATATCGGTAAACTCGGACATGCAGAGTAAGTCTTCGTGTCGCACAATTGCACGTTGGACGACGCATGACGGTTCACTCCTGTGGCTGTGTGGTAATTTCAGGATGTAAAACACTTTAAAGTAATATCATCCATGTTTGATTTGGAAACACGTGCAGAAAAACACCTTTGTAAACACAGCCTGTCATTTAGTTTGTGTTTTAATTTGGTAATTCAACTTATATTCCTGGGAAAAACACATTTTTAATTACTGAGTGTGTTTCAATATGTCATATGTGGATAGAAACACCGAGTGAAAACACGTGAGGTAATTATGTCCGGTGTTTTCATCCTGTAATTACATTTTCAAACACAGATGAAAACACCTCACGTGTTTTTGTCGGTAATTTATAGTTGAATGACGCAATGAAATTACCGGATAAAAACACAAGGGGTGTTTTTATGCGTGTTTATTTTTTAAACACCAGCTAGTCACTGCCAAATTACCGGTGTTTAAAAAATAAACACGCATGAAAACACCCCTTGTGTTTTTATCCGGTAATTTCATTGCGTCATTCAACTATAAATTACCGACAAAAACACGTGAGGTGTTTTCATCTGTGTTTGAAAATGTAATTACAGGATGAAAACACCGGACATAATTACCTCACGTGTTTTCACTCGGTGTTTCTATCCACATATGACATATTGAAACACACTCAGTAATTAAAAATGTGTTTTTCCCAGGAATATAAGTTGAATTACCAAATTAAAACACAAACTAAATGACAGGCTGTGTTTACAAAGGTGTTTTTCTGCACGTGTTTCCAAATCAAACACCGACGAAATTACTTTGAAGTGTTTAACCCCCTGAAATTACTGCACAGCCACAGGAGTGGTTGCGCTCAAGTGAAGCCACGGAATCCCGGCCCATTGATGGCGTGGGAACAAGCTTTTTGTCACCTCGATCATAGACAAATTCTGTTGCCACACCGCCCTTACATACGCCGTTCGAATTTGGCGCACCCAATCGTCACACCAAAAAGGTGAACCTTTGAGATGGTGCTATATGTTGTCTCTTACCATAGCTGTAGATGGCAGCCTCTGTTCAGCGCCTAAAATGCGGTTTCAAGCAACAAGGCGATTCACCTTCATTCCACGGTCCTGACCTGGCAGCGTCGCGATTTGATGAATTGCTCAAATCAAATAATCCACCATTGCAAGCTGAGCATGCTCACCTGGAGAACGTTATCGGTGAAGGTCATGTTTTTTTGTCCGGTCTAAAGGAACGAATAACTCGAACACGTGCCGTGCTCCAGGAATTATTGGATGAAGAGAAACGTGTTGAACGTCTGGTTGAATCTTGCAAGAAAATCATACGTCCTATTCGTAGCGTTCCAGAGGATATAATTCGGGAGATTTTCTTGACGTGTTTGGACACTGACGAGCGAGAGATAAAGGACTCGTTGGATGGGAAATCTCCGCCATTGGTGGTTTCGAAGGTCTGCAGGAACTGGAGAAGTGTTGCTGTATCAACGTCCCAGCTCTGGTCGTTCCTTTCGCTTCATTTTGATCAATACCGAGATGCGAAGGCATGTCTATATCTGCTCCAGATATACCTGCTGCGGTCTGGGACACAGGATATCGTTCTATCTTTGCACAGCACAGAGACACTCTCAAATAACCATGTCATCCCAGTTCTTCTTTCGAGTGCCCCACGATGGGTGGATATCCGCATCTTCATTCCATTCCTATCACTACGCGATTTCTCCGCTGTCAGAGGAACTCTGTACCGCTTGAATCGTCTCCATGTGAAGTTTACAGATGATCCACGGACCTCACCTGGCCCGCAGGTGAAACCCAATTTTGATGCCTTCGAGTATGCTCCGCTGCTCCGTAGCTTCTCCCATGAGAGTGTATGCAACGCCGTTCATCAGATCAGCATACCGTGGTCACGGATCGTTGAATACACCGGAATGGATTGGATAAGCTCGTATATCGAGATGTTCAAGCTTACACCGGATTTGGAGAGCGCATCTTTGTATTGCGAAGATGACTCGCTCCTTGATCGGCCTCTTCCCCCTCCGTTTTGCCATCACGCTCTTCGTCGTCTTCACGTTCACGAGGAGGAGCAACCTGTTGACGCGGACGTTCAATCAGAAGGGGGTATCGTTCTTCTCCTTTCGCATATTGAATGTCCAGCTCTAGAGTCCCTGAGTATGGTTTACAATCATCCGCAGATTCGCATTCCTAGTTCTTATTGCGCTGGAAACTTGAGGACCCTCTCCATCGATGCACCATACGCCATTCCCGCTGAGGCCCAGAGTGATTTAATCGGTCTCCTCAAGACGATACCTTCGCTCACTCATCTATCCATGTCCATGTCCATGTCGCCAGAAGAGGGTGTGATTCTCCTTGGACTTAACATCAATATATTTCCTGATGTCGTTCCCGGTCTTAAGTCGTTGACTTGCCGCATCTTAAGCGAGCGCCCAGATCTGTCAAGTGTTTTCGTCGATTTCGTTGAGTCTAGGAGGACCCGTTTAGAGACTCTTCGTTTATCTGTACTGGTTGACCGCTGGACAGAACTTTGCGAGGGAAATTTTGTTATATATGGCATGGAGTGACGATATTTACTTACCCACTCCACTGTTTTTTCAATTCGAAACGTGATATTACTTCTAAAGGTTGCGACAAAATAGCTAGGAGGGCTCCTCCGTGTATGGCTGAGAAACTGTAAGTAAAGACATTTCCTGACAGTTCGTATCACAGCATGCTCAATGATGTCGGTACACGACTGCCAAGGGCGGAAGAATAACGCAATGCGTGCTTGACTGTTATTTAATCTTACAATGCTGTGTCTTTCTTCCGCTCGATTATCGATCAGTAGAAAGAGTCTGATCTTAATTAGGGCCAACATGCTATTTCCATTCATCGGAGGTTTCATGCGCTTGTGTATTTACACTTCATTTTATTTCATTTTAATTGTCTACGGACATTCACGCTGTCTACCGAACAGTTTATATCCTGTGCCTCAGACGTGTATCTCGCATCCAGAGTGCTTGTCTGATTTATCTTAGTTATGAATACACAATTGTGACTTCGCACGATTACCTGTAACACAGTGAGACACCTTTAGAGGTAAAAGGGAAAAATAAAGAAAGCAACGGTAATAAATCTTCCATAGCCCACCGCGAGGGTCGAACTCGCAGCCTTCAGATGCGTACACGAACCGCCTGCCGCTATAAGAGTCTGACTCTCTATCGGATTGAGCTAGGCGGGCATGAACTTTTGCACTCTACAAAATATATAATATACAAAGTAGATCTGAGCCGCTGTGAAGAAGTCGTTCGCAATGAATCCCAACTTTCTATCCACTTCTGTCAACGTTCTTTGCAGAATAAGTGTTTCAAGTAATCATCAATCGTTTAACTTCTAGACTCGAACATTTCCAGCTTAGAGAACAATCTAGACTTGTCCGTCTCTCTAGCGTTAGTAAGTTGTCAGTGGCTCCCGATCTTTGCCCGGTCTCGCACTCATTCCCAGGTCTGTTATCGTATATTTCCGGTGGCAACTCTGGTATCATAATCCAGTTATTTTACTTGCAATAAGCCCATGCACACCATCGTCAAAACGGTTTAGAGTAATTCATGCTGGAAAGGTGTTGCTCCACAGTACCTGAACCGCAGTTGTCCATAAAAGATACATGATTGTAATAGTACCTTGCGTCAGTTCCTCTTCTATTGACTCGCACTCTATGACCATCCATCCGAGAAGAAAGTATACTGCGTGCCATGACTGTACATTCGGACTCATTTATCATCTGAGACTCCCGCGTTAAGCTGGTCTTTGTCAAGTTTCTTCTCCGTTATTGTCGCTGGCTTTGGAGCCGGGTTGTCAGCCTTTGAAGTTCTGTATCCTTGAAATTGCGATCAATTTAATTTAGATGGCACAAGCACCGTCATAGTATAGAATACAATGGGCACTACTTTGATGGTGCAAAGCTAGAGCTCGAAGGAGGATCAGTTATGGATGCTCGCTGAATGTTACAAGACCTTCATCGCACATCCCTTTCCAGCGTGCGGCCGCATCCGTATCAGCCGGTAAAATGACAAAAGGTGCGAGGAAATGAAGTTTCCGCAATGCTGCCCGTGAATGCGCGGCGTGCCTCCGAGAATGGACCATATCGATGAATAACGGCGACAGACATGGCTGCATATTTTCTATGAGCCGGATCGTTAGCTCCGACAGATTGGGGAGAACATCAGGGTGGATATTGGCATTGAGTCCGATAAAGATTCCATCATTCTCGTTCCCTTCAGGTGCAAATCGACAGGACATCGACAAGCTGGAGAGGAATGGCGTTGTTTGAGACCGAGAAGATTAGCCTGTGTTTTCGCCGTAATGACGAACGGCGAGTCAATGGAGAGAAACCTCGAACTGCTTGCCGTCGATCCCCGTAGAGTACGAGGAATATTAATGGAGGTATGCATGTATGACATGCTCAGAGAGTCCAAAGACGGAAACTCTAAATATGAAAGAAGACGGACATTCCCTCCTTCCGAAAGGATGCGTGAATTTGTGGGATCTTCGGCTTCGTGCAAATGAAGGACTCGAAGGCCCTGATGAGATAGTGACGGACGGTCTTCATCATAATACTCCGACTCACCGTCGCATTGCAATGATGCGCGCTCCATATCCGGTGCGCGTTTGAATATATCGATATACGGGCTCATCCAGTCATCGCCAGCATACTCGTTGGGCTGAGACCACGGTAGGCTGATCTCTTCAACGGCTGCGCACATGCGTTGTAGGGTGAAGTTACGAAGCATTGGGGCATACTCGAACGCGTCGAATGTGCACTTGGCCAAATTTGCGCGGGCCCTCGGAATAGGGCCAATGACTTCTAACGAAAGGCGGCTCAAGCGGTGGAAGGTCCCTCTGGCAGCGGAGAAGGTATGTACGGATTTATGGGTAATAGACAGCGACAGATCGGTCCAACGAGGGGCACTCAAAATAAGGATTGGTATGAGATGGCTCTTTGAGAGATGGAGTTCGCTGCGTATTGAGAGCGTGATATCGTGCATCCCAGCTCGCAGAAGATATGTCTGAAGGAGATAGAGACACGCCATGTCATTGCGATACAGGTCAAAATCCAGTCTGAGCGATGACCACAGTCGACAAGTAGACAATGCGATAGTTTTCCAATCCCTACAAACCTGCGAAAGAACCAAAGGCGCAAATTTTTCATTCAGCGAATCTTTTCGCTCCTCGTCGGTGTCCAAGGACGCTATGAAGAATTCGCGAATGATGTCCTCCGGAATTGCACGAATAGGGTGGAGGATTGTCTTGTATGATTCAATTGTGTCTTGAATGCGCGCCTCCTCTTCCAAAAGTCCATCCAGCATTGCCCTTGCCTCGGCTATCTGATTTCGCACCTTCGCTAATACGCCATGGTCTTGACTGATTGCGTTCTTAAGGTGAACTTGTTCAGCTCGAAAAGGCGGATCATTCGAATTCAGTAGTTCATACATTCACAAGGGTGCCAGGATATTATAGTTGGGCGAAAGAAGATGTTGTCGATTGTAGTTGCATCGGGGGCAATGAGAATAGAGTAGTATCTACAACGAAGATAAGATATAAGAAATTGTATATGAGTAGAGAGCGTTTACCTTGATATTCGAACGGATTGTATAGATGATGACTTGACAGATGAGAGGATGGTTAGGGGTAGATGCACTCTTTTTGAACTTCTCTCCAGCGCCGGCCGTCTGATGGTGAGACATCTTTTGTAAAACAGTTGCACAGGTTCCTCAGGAACTCAAAAGTGAGCCGTATCGAGCTTGTAGTCTAGCACAAAAGACCTCTGCTTTCAGGTGAGTGGCATTCCATTCGGAAAAGAGCACGCAAAGGCGGCGAAAGGCCAGGGAGGTGAGAGCACCAAGCCGAAGAGGACCCTGAATTGCATCCAGAAAGGTACCGTAACGATACATATGTACACTTGCCGAATTCGATGGACACGGAACGGTCTTAACCCTAAGGAAAGTAAGGTTAGGTTTACGTCCAATATCTGGAGGGGGACATACCATATATAAAGCAGCCCCGTCCTTCCCTCAGGCTCCCACATTTCTCTCTCAGACCATCACCATCGCCCGCTCTCGCCGTTCCACGCCTCCCTCCTCTGACGTTCGCACCTATTCAAGCACAGCAAAGCCTCTCTATTCTTCTGTACGCCTTTCTTCTGCCATTTGTTCCACGACTAACAGCGGACCCATGAAGACAATGCGTGTCCGCCGAGAAAACGTGACGACGATGACAACACGATGGGATAGAGAGTTAACAAAACTGCCCCCACCATCGACGGTGTTATACACCTCGTCGAGGGCGTCTCCTGCTATTCCTATCTATAACGAAGCGCTGGTGACCACGACGGTACCTATTTGCCGCCGCTATGTATCCGGTCCCGACGCGTCATATATAGAACGTGTACAAGAGTACATCACGTCGTCCTCGCTGCTTGCTCCTGGTAAACCGGGCCATAGCCACATCCCGCTCCCGTCCCAAATAGAGGGCAGTAGCCCGACAGTTGTACATCCACTGTTACAGCCGAGCCGTGGAGAGATGACAATGAAGCTCGACTTTGCTCGCAGTTTGTCGAGCATACGCGTTTTTGGTCACGAGGGCTGCGTAAATGAGGCAGCGACCAATCCGCCTCTTCCGTCGCTGGCCATAGTCCACCCAAAGCTTCCGTGGCCAATAGTCATCTAGAGGTCGGGAAATCGAGAGTGGGTCACAGTCGCTGATGTCGTTGAGACACTGAGGTACGCTCTACGCATACACGATCCCAAACCGTCCGCGATGGTGTCACCGTTCGTCGAAAAGCAGGCGGACGTGTATCTAACAAGTCGCGGCATGTCAGGCAAGGTAGAGCAAGGCGTTGTTCACCAGCCCAGGTTGGCATTTTTGAGAGGCAGGACACGGTTTATGGGACTCCACGCCCTAGAGAGCGACAGCTGGGAACTACTCGTTGTGTAGGGTGGGCAGGCCGCTTGTATGTGACTATCGGAATATTTGCGTGATGTAACTGGAGACCCGACCATATGCACTATGACCATGCATCAGCTACGCTCAGTAGACAAAGATAAAGGACTACCTCTGGAACAGTTGATATTGATGCGGTGTTGTGTATGAGTGGAAGCGCATGAAAGAGCAGTGCCTTGGACGTCGGGAGCGATAGCTGTTACCCTAGGAGAGACAGGGTTAGGGTTACACTTCTAACCATGCATGGTTGGTCAGTCCCGAAAAAACTGGGATGCATGCTCCGGTTGCTGAAGGCCCTCCGTGAATCGTCTTGGAATTACATGTGACTGCTATCCTGGCGAGCGAGTATGATCACTGTATTACGTGGTTCTTGGGGGTCGACAACTCGGTATCTCAGTTACGTCGTCCGAGTCATGAATGCAGTTAGAACCAAGCTTGACGGAATGCCAGGCTCCATCGGAATACTGCGCAGAAGATCTTTCCTCGCCTGTGGAAAGTTGTCAGCTTATTAAGAATGAAAGATGGCGATTTACTTACACAATATCTGATACAAGAGCTCCGCCTGCCATTGGAGACGGCTTACGTCACAGAAAAAGCTAATGTCCCAAGTCGACAACGGTCAAGGCTCGGCTTCGTGCAATGCAACATGAACATGTAAAAGGGTTTTGCCGTCGCTCTCTCTTGACCCACAGGCAATAGGAGCAGCAGCCGTAAGCCAAACATTCTTCATATGTGGTTCCAGCGGTACGGCCCTTGGTCGGCTGGTTGGAACTGGCGTTGCGACAATTTTGTTGATCAAAACGAAGTCCGGGAGGTATGAACAAAATGAGAGGCTAACGAAGCGGTTGGAGAAAGATATGAAAGCAACGGGCACGAGAGAGGGAAAGCAGAAAGGTAATCTGCTACTCGATGCTGAAGAGACATGCTCAAGGTTTTAAATGGGCCTGACACTTTGAACGTGCGTCACAATCGGCATTCATATGAGGACATTTGGAAGTGGGCGGGGTTACGAAGTCGAGAGTAGGAGAGAACAAGAGTAAGGCTTTATTTGATGTCAATGAGACCGACTCTACTCATTCGAATGTGGAAAAGATCCAATCTCCTGCCGGTAAGTTATAGGATTGGGTAGGACGGGTGCCTAGCCCAACAGTTTTGATGGGCGGAATAAAAAGGTGACGTGGAGGACGCGGCCTGTTTGCCCCGAAACGAAAGACTGAATTGTATCAACACTGGTTCCACATA